ATTTTATTTTTGAATTTTTTGGGAGTAATTCTCATATAGGGCAAAAATCACGTGCTTACACTGTTCACCCGAGTTACTGTTCATGCTGCTGTGAAAAAATGCAATAGCTTTTCTTCTAGTCTAAATTGATCCGTTAACCTTTCGAGATCCACCCGAAGCCCTCGAAAATCTCAACAAATATACCAACACGTCTCATACCATCATTCGAACTTAGTCGAGCCTTCGAAACACCAAAAACAACATCAAAACACCAAAACCACATCAAATTCAATCCTATGAACTTTGAAATTCCTAAATTCCACCAACGATGCCGATACTATCCAAAACAACCCCGATTGATCTGAAATTTTGCATACATATCCAAAATGACATTACGAACCTGTTTCAATTGTCGGAATTCCATTCTGACTCCTATAGCCTATTTTCCACTGCCGGCCGGAAATTGCCAAAAACTAACTTTCGTCAATTCAAGCCTAATTCTACACCGGACATCACAAAAATATTCCGGACACGCTCCTAAGTCCCAAATCACCTAACGAAGCTATCTGAGCAATAAAATCTATATTCCGAGGTCGTTTACCAATAAGTCAACTCTCAGTTGACTTTTCTAACTCTAAAGCTACTTTTAGAGACTAAGTGTCTCAAACCTTACCAAAATCATTCCGGATTCGATCAGACCAACCCGATACTACATAACACGGATAAACAAAGCATAAAGAAGCAGAAATGGGGAAAAACGGAGCGTTAACAAAGTAAAAATCAGATTTTTTTTTTTTTTTGGGAAAAAGTTTTGGTAAGAAACTTTGTCAATTTGACGTAGTTCTATTTCATGTCTTCGTTTCCCTTTTTTTTTTTTTGATAGATAAATTAAATTATGAAAACAATACATTGACCAACTACCTTTTTTTTACACCAAGAAAAATATTAGAAAACTAAATACATATAATTCAAATAATAATAATAATAATAATAATAACATAACTTACTTATTAAAATTCTAATTAAAAGAAATCGTATATATTTTTTTTTAATTTTCATTTTCTCTTTACGAATAAAGTATGTTCTATAGGTATTTATATATATATATTTGGTTTTTCTCAAATGAAACTTATTAAAAGTAAGATAAGTTAAAATATTAAGATTAAATGTAAAAGAAATATTTACATTGAAATAGTATAGAATTTGGGTGTGGTCAAAAATTAGTTGTTCGCACAACTCCTTGTTTGTACTATTTTAGCATTCCTGGAATAGAATGGAGTAGCTTCTGGAAGTAGAGAAAACTTTAAGCAACTCTGACAAAGATGATTCTCAGGACATTCTAAGTTTGACAGGTCAAAGCCATCAGAATACTACTAACGAAAATGGATATCCATGTGGGCAGCCTTTGGTCTATGAATAAAATGCAAAACATATCATATTGCAAAGGAGTTACATATTTTGGACAATTTCTGCACCTAGCCATTGAGGCAGTATTGATGTCAATTTTACTTGTTCTAGCTTAGTAATAAGGATTGTTAATATGTCAAGAGTTCAGGTGTCTCCAATTTGTTACTCCCTCTGTTTCAATATATATTTCTTACTTTCCTTTTTAGTCTGTTTCGAAAAGAATGCATCTTTTTATATTTAGTAAATCTTCAACTCCAACGTTCTACATGGTATATTTAAAACCACAAGATTCAAGGATGGTACATTACACACATCTTTAGTTTAAGACCACAAAATTTAAAAGTCTTACTTGCTTTTCTTAAATTACGTATCCCGTCAAACTAAAACACATAAATTGAAATGGACAGACTAAATGTGTTCCATTGTGCTTTTTCTCGGGGGCACCTCCAGAGACGTTCATGTAGTTTTTACTTATTGTGAATTTGTCATATAATTTTTACCTATTGTGAATTTGTGATGTAGGTGTAGGAACTTTGCTCTTTTCAGGTAGTGTTCATGTGTCCTTTAGCCATGTTTGTGTTCTCTTTCCTCGATTTGTGAACGTAGATAGATATTCGTTCTCAGTCATAATGCAGTTTTATTTAGACCCAAAAAAAATTGTTATTTAAAATGTAATTACCTTCAAAGGTGATCCAAAAACGAAATTTCGACGGATTTCTGAAATTCAATTATTCAGTTCCAACAGGAAGGTGAAATACTATCACGAAAATGATTACCAAGTAACTGTGAAATTATTATAAGATTCACAACATAGTGTATGTATATCAATTATAGCGGTTTTGCAATATATTTTATATTTAGGAAGAATAATTTTGTAAAGTAAAATATAAATGATATCGAATAATTTAATTACTTTTTCCACCAAAAAGTCATCAGAAAAGAAGGGCAGCTTTTAAGAGAAGCAGCAGATTCGCACATCAGAAAATTAACCACCAGTTTATCAGGGCACTAAAGTGTCACTGTTCCTGATTTGTGGTGTCTACTCGACTCATTAATGCCACAGAGAAGAGAAGAGAATCAAGGAATTTGCATGTTGGATAACATGAGAAATTGATTAAATATTCCTTTAGTCTACAATGACTAGTGAAACAATCGATTACACAGGCGAAATAATCTGCTCAAACATGCCTCAGTTCAATCTTTGCAATCAAATACACCCTATCCTAGAGATTCATAAGAAGCTATACTACAANGGGGGCTGCAGCTCAAATCCTGACGTGAGCACCAGTAAACTAGAGCTCTCACGGCTAAGCAATTCATGTGGTTAATTCCTTGTACAGAAAAGGAGAAATTACCACGGCCACATGATAATTTGAACTCAAAAAGAACGAACATCATCCAACATAAGGTTGGTTCTTGTTTTAAGTAGAACAACACCCAACTTTCTTTACTGCTGAAACATCATCCTTATTTCCGACACTAATAGTCTGTCCCTTGGGCAATGCTGCCTGGTCATCCCCTGCTTCAAGAGCTTTCCTGCTCACGACACGGTATATTTGAGTGAGCACTTCTGTGAAGGCATTTTCCACATTCATGGACTCCAAAGCAGATGTTTCCATGAAAAAAGTACTCTCCATCTCAGCAAATGCTTTGGCATCCTCAGTGGAAACAGCCCGTAGGTGACGCAGATCTGCCTTATTCCCCACAAGCATTATGACAATGTTTGAGTCAGTATGATCTCTGAGCTCCTTCAACCACCTTTCCACATTCTCAAAAGTCACATGACGAGTCACGTCATAAACCAGCAATGCACCAACAGCTCCTCGATAGTAGGCACTCGTGATTGCACGATATCTTCAAGAAAGAGCATCAGTTGAGATTATGTTAATGATAAAATATATGAAGTCGCAAAATTTCCACACAGGAAAGTAAGATACTAAAACTGCACAACATAAAGAAGATCACATCACAACATATGGGTCTATTGGAGACAGTAGAAGTCCGGATCTAAGCCAATTAAAGCACAAAACCTATTTTTCAAGAAAATAGACCTTCATCTCGTATCAACTTAAGTTAAAAAGTAGACATCTATAGACATCAGATACTCAAAACAAACAAATGGATGAGAAATAAGGAGAGCAGTATCTCACCAGCATACCATGTCACATACAACTTCTTTTTTTTTGATAAGGTAATAACTTTTATTAAAAAAGGGCAGAAGAGCCCGTATACAAGAGGTATACCCAAAAAGTAGAAAGCCTTACAATAAGAGATGGTTTTCTACGAATGACACCCAATCTTCCGTAAAAATAGGAACATCATGGGTGCACCAAAAATACCGAGTACCATGTCACATACAACTTATAAATACCGAGTACCAAAAATTAAAGCATTCAGAATATTACTTGGATTACTCATAGATTAGCTATGGCACAAATTATTAATATTGTTTAGTGCACATTCTCAATACAAACCAGACAGAAAAACAAACACAAGGGAGTAGGTCTTCATAACATACACATCACAGCTCATATAGCAGAGCCACAGAAAAAAAAAGACACTCTAGGCTTGAGAAGGTAAAACAATAACTAGGAGAAATAGACATAAGGAGACAATCTCCTAATATATCAAAATCATTCATTGTCAGCCTAGTGAATCAAATTTAAGAAAGCCTAATGCATCAAAATTTAGAAAGCAAATTTTTATATTTAGATTCAAAAGAATACCTCTCTGCCTTCACAAGGTAGGGCTAAGGTTTGCGTACACACTACCTCTCCAGACCCCACACTTTGGGAATACACTGGGTATGTTGTTGTTGTTGTAGATTCAAAAGAATCAGACTGGCCCCTCCTTGGAGTAGGATAGATATTACACTTCAACCCTTGCCGCCTCAATCAGTCTTTAGTTTGAAGAAAGCAACATGAAAACCTCAAAACTCTACATTTCCTAGAGTATGTAAGGACCTAGAAGCTAAAATCAAGTGCAGAGATGAGCAAGGAACCTCAGATGATTCCAATTTGCATCCGCACCACCAGAGCACACGCAACCGTATCAGAAAGGTGATAATACCTTTCCAAAGTCAAGTCATTTTTTATCCCCCACCTTAAGAGCATCAACAGTATTATCACTTACTCTCCACATGGCTCAAACCTCCAATCTACCAGCTGCTGGTGGAGGTGCTCTCATACCAAGCAAGTCTCACTCATCAGAATCCTTCATTATCAGTTTAAGCCTCTATAAATTCTGTTTCAGCTAACAAGAAGCTACTTATCCTAGGGGTGTGCATTCGATTTATCGATTTAATTTTGACCCTTATCGATAATTACTTATCGATTATCGATTTGTACATATGCTTATCGTTATAGTTTCAATAAGGTTTCGATTTCGATTTATCGATTTTGGGGCTTATCGATTCGGCTATCGATTACACCAATAAGAAAATTTGCGGGATTCCACGGAAAGTATATCGCTATAAACACGCCTAACTAATATGGACAAAAAGAAGCTAAAATAAGACGAACACCGTTTATAACATAAAAATTGTGTCAACAAGCACATGCAACGAAACTAAAGTAAAGGATCAAATGTATGCCACCAACACTCCAACGGTATAAAAAAAAATACATCATCACAGCTAATTCTGTTTTCCATTAATTTGAACTTCATTCCCTTGAGTTTTAAATATGATCATTCCTTAAATGTGGTTGAGGATATGATTAGGGACTTAGGGTAAAGGAAGGGTATTATAGAATAAGGGTAAAAAAAAAATTGTTTTTTTAGTATATCTTATCGGTTTATCGATAAACCGATAACCGAAGAGGACAAAATCGAAATCGATAACTCGATAAGGAAAATTTCGAAATCGAAATCGATAAACCGATATCGATAAATCGATAACAAATAATCAATTCGATTTATCGATAAACCGATTCGAATGCACACCCCTAACTTATCCTCAGTACAGAATGTAGTTACCAAAGGCTGAGTAAAGAGTCTACCCAAAATCAACCACACTGATAACCTCTGTATCTATAATTAAGGATTTGAAAAAGCAATCACACTAAATTCGCACCTCCAAAGGCCTAGCAGGCGCAGTAGTAATCTGCATCAACTAACTAAAAACTGGATCTGCCTTCGTCATAACTTTAAACATATTAAATTATTTGCTCATTTACGATCTTACACTTGCACTTCAAGCAAATCTCGGATCTAACTTCGCACAAAAAAAATGACAATAATAAGGTCGTAACTTTGAAATGCATAGTAGTATATCATCAACATACCAGATCTCAAAAGTTCCTCCACACACACTACTGAAAATGTCAATCAAACGAGAAACTTTTTGAAATGAGTAGGAAAAAGAAAAAGCAGATACCTTTCCTGGCCGGCGGTGTCCCAAATCTGAGCCTTAACGACCTTATCTTCGACGCGAATGCTGCGAGTTGCGAACTCAACGCCGATGGTGGACTTTGACTCCAGGCTGAACTCATTACGACTGAATCTGGACAAAAGGTTCGATTTACCAACACCGGAATCACCGATTAGAACCACCTTGAACAAGTAATCGTAGTCGTCGTCCGCTCTGTATGCCCCCATTTTAAGGATTGTGGGGACAGAGTAGGATAAATTTGAAGGAAAGATACAGAGAGAGAGAGAGAGAGCTGAAGGGGACACCGGTTTAAGAAAAGAGGAGCGGGAGATCTATTCAAAGTATTAGTAGCACTATCCAAACATTTTAAAGTTTACTTTTCTCAACTAATAAACCCTCCTTAAGTCTCTCACTTTGATACTCCATTTGTTTCTCAACACTTCGCAACTTCAATCCTCTTAGAAAAAATATACTCCAAATTTCCTTTTTTATATTTTATCATAGACAATAGTCACGACATTATCCGACCAAAATTTGTTTTGGCTTTGTCATTTGACATGTGAGTTAAGATAATTTGTTAAAGTTAATATCTCTGTGATAATTGAATTCTCGGGTAGTAAAAAAGCAAACTTGTTTTACGTGTTGGATAGAGCTAAAGTAGGTTCCCACTAAACGAAACTCGGTTAATAAATATAGTCTATTGAAACTGGGATATTTACTGACATCGATTGCCACTGCCGAGTAATTAAAACTAACACCCCCTCCGCCCCCC